CCCTGGCACAGGACTGATCTTCAGCACAGAGCAAAGACTACCAGGGTTGATTCCACTCTTTTCCTAACTCCATCAAAAAAGGTCCTGCCTCACAGGACCACAGCCTTGCAATGAAGACAAATGGCAGCATGTCTCTCCTTACTGGATTTAAAGAGAAGGGGAAGCTTATCAACAGAAAATGTCAAGATTATGTCACAAGCATCCACAAACAGAAGGGATTTGAAAAATGACCAGGTTTATATTACCTGGGATTATATTACTACTGCAGTCTAAAACATTCCCTGTAAATGCAGTTCTTGCAAGAATCAGATTTTCATTGCATTTTCAAAAAACCCACTTTTTACAGTTTATCTGTACAATATATTTTCTTTCAGCTGACAGCATGAGTAATTTTGTTGCACTCAATAAAATTCACTATTTGAAAAGATTAAGTCAGTCTGCTTGCTGTAGAGTAAAAGCTGCACAATCTCCATGCAAAATGCAACTTTCAGGAAACAAAGACTTTTTTTTCCTGCATTGAGAAGAAGTGTTTTTATAGGGTTTCTGGTGCCAAAGAAAATTTATGAACTCCTGCAGAGAGGTGAGAGGGTATGAGCTATTTCTGAGATGCTAAAAAAACCTTTCATTGCCTATTCTTTTACATTATATATTGCTAACTTTTACCCCATGCCACAAAACTTGACAAAGCAAAAGAAAATTCTGGTTTGCTGAGTATAGCGCGTATTTTCTGCCTCTTAAAAACAGTAAAGATATGAAACCCACATGTGCCCATTTCAAAAGAAACTGTGCAAGTATTCTCTGTGTTTTGGCTAACAGCCAGGCCACAGAAGTGAGCTACAGCCAGCAAAAATGAACAGGACTGACCTTTTTTTTTCCCTTCAGTTGTGCTCCTGAGAGTGAGGAGAGATTTTACACATAAAGTTTTGTTATAACTATTTCAGGCCTTTCAAGGAGTTAAGGAATACTTTCAAATTTTGAAGTAAATATAATCTAAGGCTCTACAGTTGGATCCTATCTGCTCCAATGCTAGGGAAAAGCGACAAAATTTTGAGCAAATTTTATTGTGTTAGCAAAGAAATCTATTAAACACAATAATCTATATTTTTAAGTTTATTCTATCCATCTATTGATCCATCTATCTACTCCACAATCTGTCTGCTGCCCCCATCCCTGCCCTTTTGATCTCTTGTAAAAGGCAGTTCTGGCTGTCAAGGCAGGATGAGTTTGTCACTTTGGACAAAACAGGTATCAAAAAAGAGAGTCCTTTTGCATTTCTTGACTTGATATCAACATTAGGAAAACATTTAATTTCAAGGACAGAGTAGAGAAGCAGAAAAATAGGGAGCCTGTAGCTCTAAAGTATTCTGCAAGGTAAAACCAGATTGGTTCAAATGAAAACTTCAGCACCACAAAGAGCTTTCACATTTTGTTTCATGTGGTTATAAAACATCCAAACCAAAATATCTGGCAGATAGATTAGCTGAGGGCAATCTTTTTCTTAATGTGATAAAGAAAGTTTTCCTCCTAGTGCCCTCTGACACTAAAACTTCCTGTTATGCACAACTGCCAACTTTTTTTTCAGGTCACAAAATTTGATAAAAAAATGGTATGCATTTCAAAATGTCACAAAGATAAGGAAAGGCCAACACAGAACAAATACACAGCAGCTGGCAAGCAGCATATATTAAAAATCTCAATAGCCATTAGTGACAATGTCTGAACAAGTCAACTGCATTTCACTCTTAATTTGTTAATATTTTACCTTTCTTCAGTTTCCTTCTGCCAGCTTATGTAAGATAAATCATCAGCATCACTGAGACAAGCACTCAAGTCATACTGCATTAAGCAGTTATCTGAGTCGTTACATATACAGACAGACACCTGCACTCACATTTCTGAGTACTCTGATGAAAATGTCACATTACCTATCTGATCATAGAGCCACAGTTTTACTGCTTTGAAACAATAGCAGCATTTTTGAAGGTAAAATGACTACAGGCTTTCTTTTCTAGCTAGGAGAACGCTGAGCAAGAGTTTCTTAATAAGTGTCGTTACAGTCTGTCTCAGATGACAAATTTCCCTA